ATATTTTTGCATTATATTTATATTTGTCCAAAATTTGCTTATTGTTAAATTTTTAAAAAGCGTCTTTGCTTCAAATCCCCATAATAATTCAGCAAGCTCATCTTGCAGGTTGATGCCCACGTTTTCAATTTGAGCAGAAAATGGCACAATAATCCAATCAGGGATGTCAATGTTTTCCAAATCAACAAAACGCAGTTTAAAATCGTCGCCCAATTTTTGAAGATTACCTGTATATATTTCCAAGTCGTATTCTTTTATTTCTAATTGTCACATATCTGAAAAATACTGATAATCCTTCGACCAAACCCCCGCTTATGTTAAATAGACCCCTGGGGTCTATATAGACCACTTTGGCAACCTATGATTTACAGGTTTCCTATGATTTACAGGTATAATTGACAGGTTTCGCCAAGTGGGCCAAATTTGAAAAACCCCACCCAGGTTTTATTGGGTGGGCCCATCTTGAAAAAATCCACTTGGAAAACAATATATGGGTTTTCTTAGAATTTTTATTTTATTTTATTGAAACTTATTGTTGCACATTTACTTTTATGTAATTTATTGTGCAGCATAAATTTGTCAAATAGAGTTGCATGAATTATATGATTAAGTTTTTAATATCTGTAAAGTAAAAAACCATATCTAATTTTATTGTACTATTGAAAACTTTAAGCGGCCTTTTTCAAAAAGTAATATTTTAATGATATTAAATCAAATAAAAAATTAGTCTGAAAAGATAAATTTTTCAAATATAATTGCATGTTTTATATATTAATAAACAGCTCATTATTAATTCATATGTTTAAAAAAATTGAAAAGAGACCATTTTTTTTTTTTTTTTTTTTTTTTNTTTTTTTTTAACTAAGTGATATATTAACAAATTTAAACAGTTTTATTTTCTGGCCTTAAAAAAATGAGCAAAAACTTTTTATAAAAGAACTTTTTAAAATTATTTATCTCAAAATTATTTTCCTAGGATTAATTATTTGAAAAAATGGGACAAGTAACTGATACTCTTTATAATTATACATAATTTTAATTTCACTTTCTATTAATCTTTTTATAAAAACATGGAAGACCATTAATAAAAAACTGAAATAAATATTTTAAGTCAAAAATCAGATGAAATTTTAGTTTTTACTGATTATAAATATTTACAGATTATAATTTTATAATCGGTAATATATATATATATATATATATATATGTTTAATAAATATAGTAAATAAATGAGTGTGAAAACAAAAAGATTAACAAACTTGTTCCTTTTATATATTACTGCATTTATATTTTATAATGCTTGAGTTAAAAATTGTGAAACAATATGTACTTAACGATAAAGAAAATTCAAATATGTATTAGTGATAATGCGTTATTTAAACTTAATACAAAATACATATAACAAAATTAAAATAACTTTTTGGATTTATTTCTATTTTTAAGCTTATACAACACTTTTTAATAAATAAAAATATTTACACAGTAAAACTTAAAGTTTACGAGCACTAATTGAAAAAAAAAAATTTTCTCCGGGGTTTTTCAAATAAAATCCAATTTCCCCCGGTATTTTTCAAAGAGGGAAGTAATAGTCGACATGTTTCGAGCGTTCAAATATAAGCGCCCATTCTCAAGACTTGTCAGACTTGAATAACTTGTGACTTTAATTATTGAACGCTCAAAACACGTCTATTTTTATTATCACCTATTATTTTTTAAATCAATGAAGTTTTTATATTTTCGATTCAGTTTCTTGGGATTATCCATTTAGTAACACAACATATTAAATTATTTCACTCAATATTAAAATAAGTTTTTCATAAGCGATAGGCACAGGTTCTTAGATGGAAAAAAATAATAATTCACTACTTCACTAAATCAATGTAGTAAAATTTTTTTTTTCTTTTTGCTGCAAGCCTTAAACATTTTTAAGGACATAAAAAAATTCGCTTACAATTGAAATTTCAAAAGTCGAAAGTGAAAATGTAATGTCCCCTAGCACCACGAATCGAAATTAAATAATTACAAGGACAGCTATTTCAAACAAATTTGAGTTACCGTCCTACTTGAAGAAAAGGTATTTTTTATCTATTGATTCTAAAGTTTATTCGACATATATTTTAGGGTATTTCAATTGAGTTTATTTTTACACCCTTATTGCTTAAAATTATTAAATAATTTGCTTAAAATAAATTATTCAAGCTATATGATTTAATGCATTTATAGTATAATAGTAAACGGGGCTTCCATTGCATATCCTTAACCTTGATATTGCTATCATTAAATAAATGGAATAAGCTTAGATAAATAATAAAAGTGAATTTTTTTCTAGTTTTAATTTTCAAGGAATAATATGTTTTAATTAAACAGATTTCAATTTGAAAATAGCAAAATTATTGAGTAGGTTCCTTGAAGCTACATCATTCTCATCCTCTTTTGATGAATTATAGGAGAAATTGGTATTCGTAGTTTATGTAAAAAGCATGCTAACCTTCTCGCTGCGTATTTTATTTTATCAAAATAAGTTCGAAAATTGCATATTTATGACATTTTTCAAATCAGATAATGATTATAAATTTGGGACGGCTTCGGAATCTTCTTTCAAATTTTAAACTTTAGTATTTCCTGCTTAACAAAATAAGGCATTTTCCTGATAACAAATTACACTACAATAATATCTTGGGAATCGTGCTAAAGTTAAAAATTAAACAAAATAGTTTAGTATATTATACGGAAAAAAATCTACATGGTGTCATAAAGAAAGAGTAAAAGATATAATGAAATAATTAGTTGGATAGTTGATCTGTGAATCACACGTGGTCAGATAATTAAAAATTTAATTTCACGACTAAGATATTAGGACGGCATTTAAGATACTGAGATATTTTAAGACGCTTAAAAATTTTGGATACGTATTCGACAGCTTTTCATGTTCATTATCTTTATACTCTTTGTAGTGACTTATAAAACATCAACACTAGTTTTGATAATCTATGTTGAAGTCACAAGAAACAAAAATGAAGACAATCAATAATTTATCTTCTTTTTTCGAAAAAAATAGTATGCTTAGTAATAATTAACTGTTTTGCAAATAATTTCAAACAGTGGAATGTTTTTAATTTCTTAACAAGGTTTTATTCCTAGCCATTAGAATAATTCAGAATCAGTAATTCTCTTAAAAAAGAACTTGACAATAACTTAAAAAGGAACTTTACTTTAAAGAAAACCTAAATTGAAGTACTAAAAAAATTGATTAGTATATTATTGAAGAAATAATATTTGTAGCAAGGTAAAGAATAAGATTTTTAAAAATTTTAAAATTTAATTAAATAGTTGGTAAAATAGTTCTGCAAAACACTCCCAGACAGGTGATTAAAAAATTTCTTTTAAAATTAAGACAATATATGTTGAGAAATTTGCAATGATGTGAGAGATGCTTAAAAATTTTGACTACCT